TTGCGGTCATGTCAAAGCGGTCAGACTGTATATTAACACGTGCTGAACTTACAGTAGAGACAAATTTTATTGTTGCCGTTTGACTGTTTAAGGGTAAAATTAGAGATTTGGGGTAACACGTGCATAAACTTTGTAAATAAATTCGCATTCGCACCTCGTAAATGGCTTTTCATGGCCGAGATATGGAATTCACGGCTCGGTGAAATAGAATCACGGCTCGTAGAAATGGAATCCCGGCTGGCAAATCCATAAAACCACGGCTCAAAAAATTCAGTCACGGCTCGCCAAGTAGATATATTCCATACTAGCTGGTACCTATATTTTTGGCCAATAGCCCAGGCAAGTTATTAGTTAGGTATGTAGAAACTAGAACATAAGAACTTGAGGAATAGAATTTTCTACAAAAAAAATGCAAAATTTTACAAATTATTAGGCCATAGATGCTTCCATAGTTCCATTTACATTTTGGCTTGATTGGAATTTTCCTACTTTCCTACTTCAAGAAAACGTATCAAAAAACCAACCCTACCACCACGTTACACCACCTTCCAGTGGCGCCCTAGTGTGGAATTCCAGAGGGGTAATATATTAACTGGTAAACATAGCAAATCAGAAAGCAGGACCCAAAAATCTGGAACGTCCAGCACACTTCCACTTTCAGTCCATAACTTCACTCACTCGCAGTGTGGAATTCTGTATAGGTAATATATTCTCATGTCAATATAAGAAAACGTATCGGAATACCAACCCTACCACCGCGTTACACTACCTTCCACTGCAATGAAAATTGACGAACTGAGCTCATTTGAAACAGCTGTGCTTCCGAAATTGCACGTGGTTTGAAATCCAATCCCGTGTTGCCAACGACTAAGCAAGTTAACTAGTCGTTTATCTGTAGGCTAGCGGACACATTTTTGCAATGAATACGTTCTAAAATAAAAAAAAACACATCCAGCTTTGTAAAAAATTCTCACGATTGGACAACACCCACAAAGTTTTTGATATCACACAAAATTATGAGCTAAACATTGACTCTTTCACTGCGTACATTCACATGGTGTTTTCTGTTTACTTCTCACAAGACGGTGTCACACACTTATGTTTTGGCCACACTCAGGAAGATGTATATAAACGGGGAAATTTCTCGCATAAATCAATCTAATTATATTTTTTTCGTGCAGGCGTTCGTGCAAATCACGGTCATTGATTCCGCGCCGCGCAGCACTCGGCGCGGGCTGCGGAGCTGTCCGACACAGTTGTGATTTAGACACATTTTTCATCTGAATGGAATGGCAACATCGTCTGTAGATGATTTCAAGTAACGCTGAACCAGCATTGCCAGATGGTATATTTCTATATCAGATTTCACAAATCTGGTATTTTCATAAGGTGTCTGGTATGACTATTTTAGAACTGGTATATATGCCTAAATCTGGTATTTTTCTGGTATTTTCTGACTTAGTGCAAATTTACTGCATTAAGTTCCACCTCTGAAGTTTGAACTTCCTCCAGCGTAGGCGTGGATTATATTATTATTTATATAGATTGCCTTCAGAGCGGCGCGATTCAAGCTTTCCCGCCATTTTTGGAACTGCATGTTTACCGCAAGTTTTCAGGTCAACCGGAACTCGAACACCACAGCAGAGAGTATTTTATGCAGCTAATGAATTTCGCAAACTTTGCTGGAAGAGAGATTATTGAATTTTAGAAAAAAGGTGGGATAATTCAATGAAGGCTGGTGGCAGAGCTGCAATCTTGATACTCTAATGTGATTCGTGCTATGATAACCTACGTAACAATTTTCATATGATAGTTATAATTTTTGCACATTCAAAGTACACATGACATAACATAACGCACCCAGATTTGGAAACCATTATTGCTCAAATAAAGCAAAAATAAACGACAGACCATTGACTTATCTTGCAAATATATGTATTCATATTATGTATCACCTAGCATAATTACGCTCTGTAATTATGCCAAATTGACCTAATTTGTATAGTCCATTTACGCGCATTGTTATTAGGTATTAATCGTGACGATTTTGCCAGCCGGGAGGATGTCGGTAATGTAGTCCCAACATTGGCATGCAGGATCGTACTGTTGACATACAGGTTCATACCCTACTTGCCGCAACCAGTCCAGTCATTCATTAGAAGGCACCGATGGCACATCTAAAGCCATGTTGCCTTCTTTAGTTCTGTAATTCATGTCCGATTGAATTGTGATCTATGAATGAATATTCATTACTGTGCTGACTCCTAGAACCTGAGTCCTGAGTTGACGCATTAGCAATCTAGTTAACTCGTATCCAACCACAACACAATGCGGATACACGTTTGTGTTCGTATCCAACCACAACACAATGCGGATACACGTTTGTGTGTACGGTCAGTGTGATTACGTAATTTGCATTGCCGCGCGTCCATATTAACTATTTTAGCTTTCTAAAAGTACGGCGCTGTCGGCGCACGGCGCATTTTTTTACCGGCATAGTACGGCGCACCGCGCAGGTCGTTAAAATGACAATATAAATTCCCGCGCACCTGGCACATCTTCCTGACCATGGTGTTTTGGTTGTGTCTAGTTTGATTTCACAATAAATAGACTTGATTCACATTCCATTCTGAGATTTAAATGATTGAAAGTTTTTTTTTAATTATAAAAAACCTGTTTATATGTTCCAGATTTGAATTTTTTGCCCTATTATGTTGGAATTTATCTTGATAAATTCACTTCAAATTCTGAATGATTTTGTCTGCCATCCCGCGTTTTCGAACGTTTTGTGTCTTTTAGAAAAATTTTGTTGTTTAACATGGGAAACTATTTCATTATAGAAAACATAGAGCACAAACGGTATAGTGCAGGTGCATTAATAATACAATTTAATTCAATAAAAATTAATTTTTAATTTGAAAAATATAATTAGATTTTTAATTCAACATTTTTCTAATAGAATTTAATTCTACAGCATGTACCATCTAGTGTATTAAATAATAAATTTTGATTTAGTTAAATTTAATTTTATTTAATTTTTTAATTTAATTTAATTCTACAGCTTCAACCGGTAAAAATGAGCATCATAGGAATCAAAGTAAAACTGTCGTTTATACATCACAAATTGAATGACATTGGATGGATTTGATAGGTATTTTATTAATCAATCCTGTTTATATACCTATAAGAACGGAAATGACGCTTCTATTTCAGAATGATAATGGAAATGTTTCTACTATTTCAGAAACTTTCCAAAAACTAAAGTTCTATAATCAATGGAGTCTTTGAAATGACAAAATCATTCAATTTAAAATTTTTAGCTATAAGAGTAAGATCGTCATTTGTCAATATGAGGAGCATTCATTCGTCATTCCTGAGGAGCTGTAAGAAAAAATTCGTTGTTTTTTATGTAAAAGGATGTTTTTCAATCAAAAGAAATGCAATAATTGATTTTTGGAAATACTATGTTAAAATTAACGATCCGTATTAGAATTCAAAGTCGTTTTCATTCGTTTGATCATAAGTTTTCGTTCGTTTGATCAGAAGTTTTTGTGCATTTGATCAGAAGTTTTCATTCGTTTGATGAGAAGTTTTTGTTTGTTTGATCAGAAACAGAAAAAGTTTTCGTTCGTTTGATCAGAAACAACATAATTATTCATTCTCTTGCATTACGTATACAAACAATTAGTTAATTCGTAATTTGTATACAACCGTATACAAATTAAGTATACGATTGATCATCCCGCTAGATCACTGGTAGCGGGGAAGAACCAATTCAATTCAGTAGCACGTTAGCTCACGTGTTATGAAGTTCGGCTCGTCTGAACTCTGAATTGCGTGTTTAGTGTGCATGATGAAAAACTCTGCCTAATGATTACTTAATGAAGTTTAGTTCATTGCGGTCAACTTAAGAGACAAATTTTCAACTAACTAATTCTTTTTATAAGTCTAATTTTAATTGTTGAGTGAAATGTGCAGACTTGCAACTTCCAAGTGATTAGGTACTTTATAGAAACTGAGCAAGTTAGTGTACGTGTTTTAAGCCTTTAAGAAGTTCATTTTTTGCCTCAAATAACGATGTTGGATCGAAAAAGTGGACTTGGTGGATCGAAATTATATATGAACCTTCGAAATTAGAATTCCATCCTGGTCCATACTCCATCATCATCACTGATGAGTCTCTGCAAGATGCCACAGCTGTTTCATTGAAAAAAAACAGCACTTGCATCATCACAGTAACAAGAATCCAATCAACGCTTGAACGCCTCCAACGTAACAGTCACAAGAATCCAATCAACGCTTGAACGCGTCCAACGTTCTGTCACAGGGATCCAATCATTGCAAGAATGTGTGCAACGTCACAGCCACTAGAATCCTATCAGCGATAGAAAGCTAGAAGGGACCGCCTCAAATGCACACAATGTTAATGCACTGATGCTAACTTAATGCGTAATGCTACAATTCTTATTTCAAGAGCGTAATACAATAGTGTAGTTTTGTCATTATTAATGGAAATCGCAAAGAATAACACCTTCACTATGTACACTCACTCACAAATACATGAAAAATGCCTATGATTCAATCCACAAATACAAAACTGACCACCGATGCAATCAGCTGAGACATACAATCTCCTTTTGTTGCGATCAGCCGAACGAAAAACGTAAACAAAGAAGGTAGCAGGGATACCAACCGCACCGGCAACCAATGTGAAACTGACATCAATATAGTCATATGAAAAAATGAAAGATACAAATTCTTCTACCTATATTAAAAATTTATCAGTAACTGACATTCAACAGAAATCAGAATGGTTTAATATCCTTCGTAAATATTATACATGCATGCATAATCAAGCGTGTGCAACAGTGGCGGGAATGTAATGATGGTTAGTGGTTAGTTCTCATTATGCAATCTTTGGCGACAGTGGGTGAGGTAACCACAGAAACTTACGACAGATAAAGCTCCCGAACTTCGAGACGATAATTGAGTGAAAACTTTACGTGATATATTGTGAGCCTTCTAAAGTTTTAATAATGAAGAAATCACAGGGTTCACAGAATCTAAAGGTTTGAATGCTAAATTTTTGACTTTCGAGTACTCTATTGACTATTGAGTCTATTCTAGTCAGTCAACTGTGAAGTGTCATGTTGTTTGTTGTGCATTGCCTTTTCTTCGAGAAGTTTCTCCAACTGCCGATGAGTTTCTCCTCAATTTGAAAGCTGAGGTAATGAATAGGTGCCATAAATGTTTTTTATATAGTCAGATGGGGTAAGACAGGACCAAAATCACTAACAAGCCTTTAGCATCTATACCATGAATAACTAAAAAACCCTAAACCTATCACAAGGTGCAATGGGCTTCTAAGCTACAACTCAGACGTTTTGCATCTAACATAGTTTTCTGTACAAATTAAAAAAAGTGAGCTGGTCCCATCTTACCCCATTTGGGTAAGATGGGACCAGGCTTGGGTAAGAAAGGACCAACTGGTAATTCTTATGTTACAAGGTTTTTAATAAAAGTACAAATCTGATTTTCAACATTATAACATCTAGAAACACGTTATTTGATTAAACAACCACTTGTTACTGTTTTGTGTTGCAGGAAGTCAACTCTAATATTAGTCGCATTGAAGTTTTTGTCACGAGAAAACTTTTTAAGCATAGTAATAGTGGGTTGGCTTTGGTTCATTGTAGAGCACTGCTAAATGCTTCATGTATATTCCATTAGTGACATTGTCTGAAAAATTTATCAAATTGGTAATAAAACCAATGGATGATGACTAAAGTGTCAGACATCATGTGTTTTCTTGCGGAAATGGCGCCATTTTTTTTGGATTGAGGTATGTAAATTTCGCAAATAAAGTTTTCATGCTGACACTTATCTGCCACTTTTTTTAAGCAAAATTTTTTAATACGGCAAATATATTTTTTACTACAGACCTTAGCAGAAGTAACTTTTCACAATATCGTTTTTCACCATTTTTTCAGGATTTTTCCAAAGCTAGTAAATGTAGTATTTTTGAACTTCCTTTATACTACATAGATAGGAAAAATGTTGACATTTACACCACTATATTTAGTTTTGCAATATTCCAATTAGCTTTGCTGCTAAAATAGTTTTACGCCGTGTCGGAGGACTGTCCCAAGTTACCCTGCCCGTCCGGAGTAGCCCCGGTTGATGGTAAATACGGTACCTAGCTTCTTTCCCTCATCCCGCTCCCGCTGCATAATCTAGCGAGATGATCAATGCGGACAGTAACCAAGTCCAACTAATCATTCGTATACTTAGTGCAAGAGAATGAATAATTAAGTTATTTCTGATCAAACAAATGAAAACTTTTGATCAAACAAACGAAAACAAACTTTTTGAAGATAATTCTGAAATTGTAACGTCTATTGAATTCTAATATGGATCATTATTTTTAGCATCATATTTCCAAAAATCAAGTATTGCATTTCTTTTAATTGAAAAACATTCCTTTACATCAAAAACAACAAATTTTTTCTTACAGCTCCTCACGTACCGTATGACAAATGAATGCTCCTCATATTGACGAATGATGATCTCACTCATATAGCTAAAAATTTTAAATTGAATGATTTTGTCATTTCAAAGACTCCATTGATTACAGAACTTTAGTTTTTGGAAGTGTACGTAGTGAATTAATTCACTTGACACAATTAAAATGGTGCAAAAAAATTTGGCACAAACAAGCTGCATTGTACCTGGAAGGCTATGATGAGCCTCAACTATGAGTCTATGATTAATTAATTTTATAGGTATATTATTTTAGCTACATTATTTTTAAAAAATACCTTATTGAACAATTTTTGTAATTTCAATTTCAGCAGTCAATTATGAAGCTGTATTGGGCATGAGACTACACAGAGCAACAATTATTATTATCTCTAGTATTTTGTGAATTATTATTTATATTGTATTTTATACTAGTCATAACAATTTTAACTTTGAGTAATTTTTATAAAAATTCCAATTACAGGAATTTGGCACGGACAAACTGCGTCGTGCCTGGAAGGCAACGCTGAGCAACAACTATGACATGGAGGCATGGAGTCTCATCATCAGGGATGCGCAGAACAGAAATATTGAGGAGACCAGAGACATTTTTGAGAGACTCGTGTCAATCTTCCCTACTACTGGCAAGTTCTGGAAGATGTACATTGAACAAGAGGTCAGTTGAAAACACATTTTGCTAGGCGTGTTTTTGATCTTGCATTAGCTTTGATTCATTTTCTGCTAGTATTTATTACTTTTTTAAATACTGCACACTCTTTCTAATTAAATTATTCCAATTAATAATTATACCAATTTAAAAAACCTATAGCTTATTAATTGAGAAACCATTCCACAAATGTCAATCTTGTTGATAAATTTGAGGAAGTTGTGTCGAAAAATTTGTATTAGTACTTGATTTCAGAACCTTTTTGTAGTATCAAAATTGTTGACAAATTTCCTTTAATAGTATTATAATTGTGACATGCTGACATAATGATTGTATTTTGCAAAATTCTCAACTCAGGTATATACTAAGTATATTAATGGGGGGACTTGGCATGAGTGTATACTGTATGTGTCTGATGCATATATTTCTTAGTGTTCAGTGAATGAAGCATTTTTTATTGCTACATAATGCGGGCAATTTGTGGTATAAATGTTTTTATTATTTACAAAAACATTGTGATTGATTTTCCTGATTTTTATTTTCAGATGAGAGCCTACAATTTTGAGATGGTTGAGAAGGTGAGTGACTTAACCATTGTATCTTGATTTTGTTTTTTGACCACGTGAGTCTATTAACTGGCATCTAGTGACTGGCATAGGTATTCCATTGACAAATTATCTGGTGCATGCCATTCTCTCCTTCCCTCTCGCCATTCTCTCCTTCCCTCTCGCCATTCTCTCCTTCCCTCTCGCCATTCTCTCCTTCCCTCTCGCCATTCTCTCCTTCCCTCTCGCCATTCTCTTCTTCCCTCTCGTCATTCTCTCCTTCCCTCTCGCCATTCTCTTCTTCCCTCTCGCCATTCCTGTCTCTTATACACATCTGTTTGATGAGAAGTTTTTGTTTGTTTGATCAGAAACAGAAAAAGTTTTCGTTCGTTTGATCAGAAACAACATAATTATTCATTCTCTTGCATTACGTATACAAACAATTAGTTAATTCGTAATTTGTATACAACCGTATACAAATTAAGTATACGATTGATCATCCCGCTAGATCACTGGTAGCGGGGAAGAACCAATTCAATTCAGTAGCACGTTAGCTCACGTGTTATGAAGTTCGGCTCGTCTGAACTCTGAATTGCGTGTTTAGTGTGCATGATGAAAAACTCTGCCTAATGATTACTTAATGAAGTTTAGTTCATTGCGGTCAACTTAAGAGACAAATTTTCAACTAACTAATACTTTTTATAAGTCTAATTTTAATTGTTGAGTGAAAGGTGCAGGCATACAACTTCCAAGTGATTACGTAGCCTACTTAATAGAAACTGAGCAAGTTAGCGTACGTG